GATCATAAACATATTAAAACCTTTAATAAGCATATATAACACATAAATAAAAAGGGCAACAGTGACCTATTGCTTGCCAAATAATCCACATTCATCTATACTGTTAAAACTCAAATCTGTCATCTTTATCAAATATTCATATTTATCAGATATACCAGGTCACTGTTGCCATTTTTATTTATGTTTTATAACTGCATATTAGTGTTTTTAATGTGTTTATGGACATAATTAATGACCATAAATTTATTTTTAATCCATGAAACAAAACGAGGCATTACATTATCTGTTGGCTTCATTAGCCTTGTAGTTCTAGTACAAAACTAATAAACAAACTTTTGGACACCAAAAATATCTGATAGATGCAATTGAGAGTAAGGGGAAAATTTTTGCTGAACCATCATTTTAAAACTTGTTTTTGTGATTGATCAACATTGCAGGAGGCTTTGGAGTTGCATCGACCGGAGTTTGTGTCCCGTTCTCGGGAGCGGATGAAGAGGCTGTGCCTGCTGGCAGAGGAGAGGAAGATGCAGGCCGTCTTCACCAGAGAGAGAGAGGAGCTCTTCAACCGCCCGTTACCATTACAGCAGCCGACAGCAGGTTGATTTAAATTCCTCATCCTAACGGAGGGAACCTCAAACAGCGCTTGTTATTTGTCACAGTTGTTTGTCACAGTTTGGTAGGAAAAGCATTTTTCTGCCAGTGTATGGAACATTCTACACTTACAGTAATTGTCTTCTGTTCTTCAGTTCCACCTCCTTTGCCTTCTAAGCGAGTCATTCCAGTGAAAGAGATGGTTCAGAGATCCAAGCGGTAAGCACTAGTCCATAGGCACATAACTGTTACTACTCCTTATTTATGAGCTGTTATGTCTTGCCTGAGTTAGTAATTGTAAGTTAATGCTTTATTGGTTGTATGTGCTATCCTGTGCTCTGTTCTCCATGCTCTCAGTGGGGTGGAAGAGACAGCATACACTCAGAGAATAAACAAAACAGACAGAGTTAGGAGGTAGGATTGTGTGTGTTTCTGTGTGCGTGTATATATGTGTAACAGAGAGAGAGAGAGAGACATGGATGTTAGCATGTTATGGAATTAAATGTGTCCCTTGCTTTGTGTGCTGCTTTGGAAATCGGGTCCAGTCAAGAGTGGAACAAGTGTAGCATCACCATTAAATAGAAGCAAGAAGAAAATACCAAACGCATAATTTCATCTGTGTGTGCTTAACCCATCAGGATTTATGCTCAACTTCCGGAGGTTCAAAAGAGGAAACAGGAGGAGAAAAGGAAAGCAGAGTACTGCACATACCGCCTCAAAGCTCAGCTCTTTAACAAGGTAAACATATACTCTCAGGTGTTTAACCCACAGGTACCCAACCTTTTATCAGTTTGTTATTGTGATGTTGTATTTTTAGAGAAAATCGAAAAATATATATAAAAAAAAATATGTTTTGAATGTCACGGAAATGACAATTTACATGTCCAATATTTAAAAATAAAAAATTATATTATTTATAATAGACTTGAGAACCCTGCCATAGAGCACTATGAGCTTTACCAAGAGCTGTGAGCTGTTGCGTGTAAACAACATAAAACAATGAAAATACTACTGTTATCTGTATTGTAACATAAAAATTGCAAATCCTGTACTTTATCATGTAATTATTATGATCATAACACAATATAACAGTTTTTAATGTGGAAACCACGCAGTTTGTGGCTGCAAACATACATGGGTGGGAAGTGAGTTTTCACCTTTTCAAGGGAGAAAAAATTCTGCTCCTCCTTTTGCCAGGCTGTGGTTGCATAGTGTCTAAAATCTGTGATGAAACTGCAGTTTGTTTGACTAAAATACAGTGACGGTATTTCAAAGTGTCCACAATAACGTTACCATGTGTATTTAATATCGCAATATTAAATATATTATTGTATATTATCCTATATATTGTATATCTTATAACTGAATACCGACACATCTGCTTTAGTCCTTTGTGTAGTGGTACAGTTAAAGCTCATGCATTATTATCTTTTCTCTTACAGAAAGTCACCAATCGCGTGTTGGGCAGAAGAGCACCTTGGCAGTAATCTGAACAGATACCAACTCGAAAAGTTTGACTGCAAAACTCCTTTTTTATCTAGACAAGTTTTATTGTTCTTAGTGTGTGTGTGTTTGTGTGTGTGAATAGTATACCTCTTGGGAGATATAATGTTACTTGTAGGAACCAAATTAATTAAAAATCACATGATTTTTCTTTTAATATTTTACTAATGGTTTTTATATTTAAAGAATAAAGGACCGATGGCAGCTGTTAAGGTATTTGAGTGTTTTCTGAAGTTGCAAGACTGTCTCACATGCACATGCATTACGGTGCTGGTTATACCATATAGACTCTTTCCTACGGAGTTTTTATTTACAAAATAGAGCAAAATAGAGTTCTGGTTTATACATCTCATGGCTTCTTCTCATGGCTGTATTGTTTATGAACACATTTGGTATACACGGGTGGAAAAAGGGGACTGCTGTACAATCAGTTGAAGGTGCTTTTAATACTGGACTACTGAAATACACTTTATCATGCGAGTTTGATATTTTGTAAAACCAGCTTCTTAAGTTATGAAGTTAGCTACTTAATAACACCACTTATCCACTGTGGATGAGATATCAAATGATTTAAAGGAGAATTTTACATTTTTTTAGAATTTCTGCTTAATTAAACTGTTAAAATGTAAACAGAGTAATTCAGAATTTTTTTTCATGTGGAATGTGCTGTTCTAGAGAACAGGGTTAGAGCTGTTCACAGTGGTGATGATAGGAAACAGACGTCTGAGGAGTTTAAAGTCTGTAACGGGTGTCCAGACTTACCCACAAAGGGCCAGTGTGGCTGTAGGTTTTCATTCCAACCAAGCGGGAGCACACCTGAGTCCACTTCTTTTATCAACTGGTTTCAGTCTAACAACTGATCACATGATCTCTTGCTTTGCTAGAATGAAAACCTGCAGCCACACTGGCCTTTTGTGGATGAGACTGGACACCCCTGCTCTAAAAGCTCCCTCATATAATGTTTTTGGTTATGAATGCAATGCTTAAACAAAGAGACTTTGTTTTGAGAGGGTTTTAGTCTAAAATGTCTTTTTAAAAAACATTTATGGTGGAGAGGTACATGCAGGGTGTTTTAAGACAAAGTAGCACCGAAAAAGACTTGCTGATTTGGCTTTACCACTGATAATGGGACAGTCACTCTGTCATTAGCTTAGCTTTGGTTTTGAGTTTAACCTGAGTTTAAACCTAAGTGAGTTTTGTGGGTTCTTAAAGTCAGTGGCTGTGTCCTCGGAAGCTGCATTGTAAAGCATGCCCATGGTTTAAACTAAACCCCATCTGGGTGTTATGTAAAAGCCATCTGCCACTAGATGCTTCTGTATGTCAGGTGTAGCTGATAAAGACACAGCTTTACTAAGATTCGAAGAAAGATTATTGTGAAAGAAGAACTTTTTCAGCTCTTGTTTTGCGTATCCCAGTTTACTTTCTGCTATAATGTTTTTGACTTCAAGGCATGTTTTAATTAAATAGATGCATCTTTGGCTACTTGGTTTTGATTTGTTTTAAATTACAAGTATTAAAAATAAAAGACACAATATTGTACCCAGTTAGGCCCAGTGGCATTCACAGACTTTCTGTTGCTGTTTTAGGTTTGGCCTGAAATAAAATAGACAGTTACTGTGTGCTGTAAGTATAATTTAACTGTAGAGAAAAGAGAATTTTAAAGTCTTAATCTTTGTATTTAATACTTAGAATTTTTTAATTTTGAGTGAAATTTCAGAATGTTGTATGCAATAACATGTTTAAATGACAGTATAATGTCTGATAAACTTTTATATAGCTAAATATGTCCTTTTTATGCAGTGTTTTGTTACAGTTTGCCTGATTATAATGTAATTTCACAGTACACCCAGTTTACCAGAAGTTTATCCGTTAGGATCAGATAGACTTGAGCTTGTTTTGACAGAGTAGTCAGGTTTAATTGAATGTACAGCAGTGTATTAAATCTGTGAAGTTACTGTCTTAGCCAAACGTGTGTTAAACTGAGAATAAACTGCTGCTAAGCTAATGACTTTACCATTGTCAACACATAAAAACTCACGAGACACATGTTGGTTCACTGGTCGTTTTAGATAGTAAATAAAATGGCTATATTTGCATTGTAGACATCACAACCCCTGGTTCCTATCACCACCACTGTAAAGTAAACTTTTCTACAATTAACTGTTTCACATCACACCACTCTGAATGACCCTGTTTACATCTCAATCACTGAATCGTGCAGAAATTTTGAAAGATTGGTGTAATTCCCCTTTAAGGGTAGAGTTCTTCAGAAAACACAGCTCAGTATATAACAGGTTATAGTATAATCACAGGTAAATATAATGAATGCACAAATGTAATTGGTTACACAGCAGTGGAATAAAAACATTAAAACAACACAAAACCATAAAATGAGTGCATAATATATTAAATGTTATAGTTTGTTATAATTGATTTTAACTTCACGAAAATGATGCAGTTGATTTGCTACCTTCAAAGCATTTATTTTTACACACGTTATACACAGTGAACAGAGACTAAATTGAAATTTTTCCGGGATCATAATTCTCATTTTCACATTGAGATCTACAGTCCAGAAAGCCTTAGGAGCAGGGCCCCCCACTCCTCTCAGCTTTCTCTCAGTTTAACACTATCCATAAAAACATTGTGAAAAAGCTGCAGTGATTGATCAAAATTCCATCTGTTTTACAATAAGAAAAGGTGACTTAATAAAAACAAAATGCAGATATTTAGTTTCTGAAAAAGCACAGAACAATAGCATAAACATGGACACAAAATGAAATAGAAATATTTGATTTGAAGAGAAGTATATATTAAATCACAACTAATTCCTAGGCTTGTCCACTAGTCTCAGAGCTGTCTATGTCTTCTGTGTAAATATAGCCGACTATAAATAACCCCTCAAATACATATTACACACAGCTAGCAGCTGTCCTGTGACCAGGCGGACCCTCACCATAATATGCCACTCTGTTCATCGCAGGAGTACTCTTCTGGACTTGTTAAGGTATTTATATTAGATGTAGATTTAGTTTAAACTTTTCAAGTCAGATGTTTAAAGAGTATCTCTGTCTTTATATACATGTATGACTCAGATATTTAGAGCACACAGAGACAGTGAGTAGTATGATAGTACTTAATGACCAGTAGCTAAAGTTGCTTTGTCATAGTGTAGTGCTGATCTTCCGGTGCTTACTACCATGTTGTCTCTTGTTGTGTTGCTTTTAGAATGGGGGACTTTCAGCAATTTGATCAAGACTTCTACCAGTCTGAGTATTATATTGATAATCAGGGGCAAGAAGCATGTGGCTATGAAGCAGCATATACCAGCCCAGATTACCACAATATGTAAGACTGTTACTAATATCCATTGTATTCACTACAATAAATGCAGTGATCAGCATCTTGAGGACTTTGTTGATATACATTAAGTTACACGAACACCTAGTTTTAACACAGGAAGAGGTTAATGGGATGGGCCCAGTTTCCCGAAAAGCATATTAGTGTCAATATGTCATGTATGGAAGGAGCAAGGAGGCTGGATATAAGTGCAAGCAGACTTTAATAACCAAAACAAACTAACAAAATACAAAGTAACTAACTACAAGACTTAAACAAAGAAACACAAAGAGCAAACAAAACACGGGGTAAGGAAAGAACCACTACATCAAACAAAGTGACAAGTTGACCAGACAAACACTGACTGAAACAAAGGGTTTGATAAAGGCTACAACAAATGGGGAACACCTGGGAGAGGGAGGAGACAGAGACTACAGACAGGTGAGGATACTAATAGGGAAGGTGGGGGAAATGGCGGAGCACAAGAACCAAAAAAAAAAACCACAAGCACATGGCAGAAAGCACATGGCTACAAAACAGAGTAAGTAACAGACACAGGAACAAGGGGAAACTGTGACACAATATCATCTTAACTGGTAGAGAGGGAGTTCAGTGTGATGCTCACTCTAGCATTTAAGAATTGTCTTTGTACTAGGATGCTTCTGGGAAACCCTGCCTTGATTAGTTAGATCAGGTGTGTTAGAGCAGGAGAAACATTACAATGTGCAGATCAGGGTTGTAAACCACTGCATTTGTATTTATATACCTATAAAGTGCATCTATAAGGTAGCTAATAAACTAGCAATTCAGTGTGTGTGCACTGAAACGTTCTCCATGCTGAGAGTTACCGTTAGGTGTTAAAGGGTCAATATCATGAAAAAATAATAGAGTTTGATGAATATGTAAACATTGTTAGAACATACCATTTACTCACCAGTCCAAATGACTCATATATGAAAACTAAGCTGACAATTTAAATTAATTGTTTTTGTGATGTCATTAAAACCAACATATTGACATATATCTAGCCTACTCAGCAGGTTGGCCCTGCCCATTTGCTTTGAAGCATTAAGAAGGTTTTCAGCTTGAACAGCTTTCTGAATGAAGCGCAATACAGGGCAACCAATCAGAAAAGAGATAATTTACACATATCAGTCTTAAATGCACAGTAATAAAACCAGCCAGTTAAGTTATAAGGAATAAATAACGGTTGGAAAATGTTCATGTAATACAGCCGTTTTTTCGTACATAAACCCACAAAAACATTACAAGTGGATCTCAGGGGGGAAAAACAAATAACACACAAAAGAAAGGTGTAGGTTATGGGCCCGTTAATAGATGTGAAGCACCTGTGATTTTAAATAGCTGTGTACCATTTGATTGGCAGAGATGATGTGGCTGCTTACTATGCCCCACCAACAGACCCACCTTACACTGGGAAGGTGTTCCAGCCTGGAGCTCCTCCGGGGGCTGCTGAGAACACTGACTGCTTTGAGGAAGAACCCCCATTGTTAGAAGGTAAATAATATAGATATTAAGATGAAATGTCTTTTGTGTTTAAATACTTATTTAATGTAAAGGTATATAAGAATCATTTTAAATAATGATTAGTGAGTTTGACTAAATCAACAAGGGAATGAACGAGGGACACTGATCTGTGTATACCTCATCAGAACTGGGCATTAACTTTGATCACATCTGGCAGAAGACTCTGACTGTGCTGAACCCATTGAAGCCAGCGGATGGGAGTATCATGAATGAGACAGACTTAACTGGTCCTGTACTTTTCTGCATCGCTATGGGCATCACTCTTTTAATGGTATAAAATATACCTTACACCAGGTGGTCCTCACTTCCAGTCCTGGAGGGCCATAGTCCAGCACAGGTTTGTGATTTCTCTAAAACACCAACTATACCTGATAATTAACGGATGAGTTGAATTAGGTGTGTTTGAGCAGGGAAATCATTTAACTGTGCTGGACTTTGGCCTTCTGGGACTAGAACTAATGAGCCCTGCTTTACACCTTTCATTTGATATGATCAATTATAATGCTATGAAAAACAGTTGGAAGGATGGTTACATTACAGGGGTGTAATGATGCATCATGATATCACAGTGCAAGACTGTACCAATGTGCGTCATGGAGTTGGGATAATACATTGTGGACAATTCTATGAATTATGCCATCTAATGCAGTTGCACTGTTTGAACACCAAAGCTTGTAGACTTGCACCAATCAACAACTACAACAACGACCTAGCTGTCTTAGCTCCAGTGTCATTAGCTTGCTGATTAGCAAGCAACATGATTAGTAACGTTTTAGACATTTGGCAGACATTCTTATCCAGAGCAACTTACAGTTTTACTCACATTACAGAGTTAGCGAATGTAGCATTACAAGTCATGCCAAAGGTTTCTTAAGGCCACCAGATGCGCAGTCATTGTTTTTAATGAAGGTATGAACACTGGCGGCAACATTTATCAATGTGCGCCAGAGTTTGGCAACTCCAAGCAGTGCTCAATTACTCAGCACACCACTCAATATTTTGCCATTAATACGTTAATATAAGGCCATATAAAAACCACAAAACACCACTGTAGATGATATCTGGCTTGAAATTTACTGAGAGAGGCAGTCAGTCTTTTAGATAAACAGAAGTGCTAATGGAATGTTACCTCAGCTAACATTACTAGCCTAGTCTTTTTTCACCCCATCTTTAAACTAAAAGCAGTAAGTTTGTGAAAAGGTAGTAAACTCATTCAGTACATGATAAAATATGTTGCAAGTTTTATTTAATGAAATTTATATAAGCAAATAACTAATTATAGTCATGATTTTGTTCAAAGTAACCAGTATTGTGAATGGCCTGTGTGTATCATTACACCCCTATTATATCATTATCTGTTCAGTTATACATTGTATTAGTAATGAGATCTATTCTTTTTTTTTCATTGTCTATGTTTGCTCTCTCTTCGCAGGCAGGCAAGGCCCATTTTGGCTATGTGTATGGTATCAGTGCACTGGGCTGTCTTGGCATGTGTACATTGCTGAATCTGATGAGTGCATACACCATATCCTATGGATGTGTGGCCAGTGTATTAGGATACTCCCTACTGCCAATGGTGGCTCTCTCTGCCTTTGCTGTTGTTTACTCTCTACAGTGAGTAACTACCACCACAGGGGTTACCAAGTCTTTTACACATAATCTGAAACTCAGCTGAACAATGGAACAGTGCAATCAAACCATCTCAATCAACCAGCAATAGCTTCAAAACTTTGTAGTTACTTCCTACATCCACATATCATTTTCAGTCTCTGTCTGAATTCACAGAAGATCACTTTCAGTCTGTTGTTTTGTTAATACACCCTGTAGTTCTCCCACATTTTGTAAACCACATACTCAGCATTTATGCTAATGCTTCTTAATGAAACAAAAGAAACTATCACATTAACAAGAGGGATTTTCCAGATTCTTGGCAGGTAATGAAGTTGTTTCTGCTTTGTGTGTCCAGAGGACTGTTGGGCACTTTGCTGGCCTTGCTTGTGATTGGCTGGTGCAGTTTATCAGCCTCTAAAATCTTCAGCTCGACTCTGGATATGGGTGGACAGCAGCTGCTTGTGGCTTACCCCTGCGGTCTGCTGTATGGAGTCTTCGCCCTGCTCACCGTCTTCTGATGGTCCACGTGATGAAAGCTCAGCATGCTGTCAGCAATGGTTAAGTGCAAATATCAATAAAACCAAAGTTTGGTTTTAGAACCAACTTACAGTTACTTAACAGATGTCATTTGGAAACAGTTGTAAACTTCAGTTCAGCTAGTCCATTCTGAATTAAGTCTGACATTAGCAAATACAAAGCAGTGTTTCTTCCACTACCATTTGAAGTCATTATAAGAAGCAAGAAACTCCCAAATTTGCGAAGCTTCCTTGCTGGGACAGTAAGTGCATTAGTAGTAGGGCACAAAACCATAATCTCAAACATAATCAGCCTCAAATTATTAAGTAGCTTACATTTGTAATAATATTGAACCATCCATAGTTAGCTTTATTCAAGAACTTCTTAAAAGCTTTTCTTCTTGCTAAATGTTCATAACAATGGCAGATTGTTTGACAGAAAGTTTTTTATGCTCCCATCTTTCTGCTTTCCCCAATTCTAATACGACCTCTCTCTTATGTTGCTGCTCATGCACTGTAATGTAAGATGGAGGAAACCGGCACGGAATGTTTATTTTAATAAAATTCTGTTAGATTGCAAGTAATTTTGAGACATATTTATAGTATTAGACGATGAAAGCTTTTGTGTTCTATTTTCGTGAGTTTCTGACTGGTGATGACTTGAATAACCTTGATATTATGAAGATTCGCTGCACCACTTTGTAAAGGTTATACTTACTATTAACTCACTACTACTTTGTACACTTTTGTTGACTGTACAGTTATTTCTTTTGCACTGTGGCCCGTAGCACAGATGGGCCTATGGTGACCAGGCCCTCTAATGCTTTTACTGAATCCGTTATATCGCTACTTGCACTCTTTTACTGCCATGACTAATAGGCAGTTACGCTAACTTAATATATATTAAGCATTGGCCTATGTTAGAGCACCAACATGCTTAAGACAAAACAATCATGAGTAAGCAAGCATATTTCATTGTCTTTTTTTTTATTAATTTAACCTTTTTTGTCCATAAGATTCAAGTTATGCTACAGCCTTTGCACAGCCTTTATGTAAGTGCATTCAATGTGTATTGCCTTTAGTAATGTCTAATGTGTAATGTCTTTGGTAACTGTCATGCTGTCATATTGTCTGTAAAGAGCATGTATGTGTATAAAACAGAAACAGTCTGTTTTGTCATTACTGGTTGTTTGCTGAGTGGGGAACTATTGCCTGTATTTGTTCTGGTTAGATTTGCCATATAACTTATGAAACTTGTGGTATTTCTGGCTTTTTCAGAGTCTAAACTGCCAGTGTCTTTGTGTATTATACAATGTCTCCTTCTAAACCAAAGTAGTGTGGTAAATAAGTAAAATATCTTTGTTAGAGCCTTTTCCATGCTTTGTAGCTAGAGAGAAATTGTTTCCAAAGTTTAGAGAACAAGAGAAATTGTTTCCAAAGTTTAGAGAAAACTTTCATGATTACTTGACCACTTTGTCTTTACTCTTAATCCTCACTGGTGCCCTTGGACGCATGGCCTTTAACCTTACTTCAGGGTCAGATACCTGACTTGTACCTAGAATGTGTAAGGTACGTCTTAAACATGAACTGTTGATATATGAGATAACCTTCTCCCTTCTCCTCTCTCTCTCTCTCCCCCTCTCTCTCTCCGTCTCTCTCTCTCTCTCTCTCTCTCTCTCTCTCAGAACAAATACTGAATTATGCAGGAGAAAATGATCTCTTTGACCTTCTGATCTTATTCATAATTGAACTTACACATGCGGAGGTGGTGCACACCAAAATATCCTCAGAAGTTTCCTTGCGTATTTATTACAAATATTAACTTTCATGCTCACAAAAAAGTACGCTAAAAATACTATTAACTGCATGTTTTGTGTTCACTTAATAAAAACCACGACTTTAAAAAACCTACTTTGAATACACTAATTTCATAAAAAGCAGAAGAACCGAACAAAAATACATAACACACGGTTTGCTTGTTACTAAAGATGCAACGATTTTAGAACAAAATAGACATTAACATACAAAACTGAAAAGCCAGTTGTCCTTAAATTACAGTCATTCTTGTTGTTCAATCAAAACATACTGATGCAAAGAAAATGTTAATACAAAGGTCATATTTACAGTGTTTTTTCTACAAATATTCTGTATTAAGACGTTTAAAAAAAGGAGGGTCAGTTGCTATGAACACTGATTATCTTGCAGCATATGCGTATTTACTCACAAGTGTGTATTTGAATCAGCACAATAATGAAACAAAGCACTTCTTAAGTAATCACAGAAAGTCTGCAAAGTAGGTTAATCATGTATGATTACAGTTTGCTTCAGGATTAATAAGGATCCTATCTATTTTTCTATCAAACACATATTTTCTAATAAAATTATTTACCTTAACACAAAGAATGTGAGGCACATTTTTGGATATTGTCACTGTCCAAAAAAAATGTACCTCCAATTTTTTTTTTCTATATTGTTTGAGCACAGCAGTTGTCCTTTACATTGTGTGAAAATGTCATGTTAAATGAAGCAATAAAAATGCTCCAAAATTACTTTGAATAAAATCTCTTTACATTAACTTTCATTAAAAGTTTGCCTTTTCCTTCAAAGTGATGATATATTCTGTTCAAGGTACACCATGAGGAGTAAAACTGGACGTTGATGTTTGTGAGCAGTAATGAGATTCCCCAAACCTTGTGTTTACAGCAACTGACCCAAATAGTCCTTGGCCTCTGTTTATCATAGGCCCCTGAGGCCCTTCACCCAATAGTCCAGGTGTGACCCTCTGCTCTGCACTGCTTTAAGCTACTGCAGTGTTCTTGGCAAGCAGAGGCTCATGGTCTCTTTGGCTTGTTTCCATGCAGAGAGCCCTTAGGAGAAGAAACAGAAAACAGTCTCGATTTGTTAAATGTAAGTGACCTTTGTAAGCAATGCACAATGTGCTCTTTCATGCGGTTCAATCTCTATTTCACGCATCATTCCTTCACATCTTGTTTACTACTAAAATAGCTTTCGTTTGATTGTTTCTATACTCTGTTGTAGACTTTACTGTAGACATTAGACACTCACAAGATATATACAAACTCAATACCAACATATAACATAAATTCACAAATACTCCATGTTCTACTGTATTCAGTCCATCCCTCTAGCTTGTCAACAGTGTTTAGCTTTGGCTTCTGTCATATGTCAGTCAGGAAATCAGCTGAGCTCTTGATCTCCTTGTGGGAGGTGGGAACCGAACTTCACACTGGCTGAGGGTCCTTGAGCAATGGACAGGGAATATCTTCCTTTCTGTCTGCATTTTAAGTGGTCAGCCAGAGTTAAAGTCACTTATTATGGTTATGTACAGTTGTTTGCAAAAGTATGGGCACCCCTGGTCAAATTGTGAAAATAAGTTAACACATCCTTTACAGAGAACATACTACTGCACATTTTAATACACAATTGCTGTTTAATTCACTCAATTCAATACAGCGAGAAAACAAAACATAAAATATGGCCTACGCTTTTGTATTTAATGTTTCCAATATATTTAGGTTTGTTCCCTGTGGAGGATGTGTTTTTTTTTCACTTAGAAAATCAAAAAACATGTAATTTGACCAAGCATGTTCAAACTCCTGTATACAACTGTATGCTTAATTCACTAAGATGTATAGGGCTGGCCTAGTGAACCTCGATTAAGCCTGGTTTTAGACTAACCTGCAATGCTAATGTATTTCACCATTAAAAATCCAGTTTAGGCTGAGACTCAACTGCCATAGTGTTGTATAATAGTCTACTGGAAATAGTCAAGTGCTTAAAAGTTACACATTTTTTCTGCTTCACAGCCTCACTGGCCTTCTAAATGAGCATAACTAGGAATAAAGTTCCTTGCAAATGCCATCATTTGATGTGCGCTCACACGCATTCATTTTTCTCACAATTCATTCAGATTTAGGGAAGTTCTGAATCACTGTCAATGGGTTTGTTTTGTACCCTGTAAGTAGCCTAACCTTACTGAAGGGGCTCTTAAATCGAGCGTGTAGTTCTTTAACGTGTGACGTCACAGATGTTCCTGAAGGGTCCAAATTACCATTAATGATCATCAAGGAACATTTTCAAATTCAAGTTTTTCTACACTCTTAAAAGAGATGGTTCTTCAAGGGTTCTTCAGTAAAAGGAATGGTTCTATTTAGAACAATGAGTTCTATATAGAACCATTTAATGCTTAAAAGAGTTCTTTGCAGTGTGATGGAGAATGTGTTGTATGTGGTTCTGTACAGAAACTTTTGAAAATGGTTCCATGTCGCACCAAAAAGGGTTCTACTATTGTTACAAGCTTGACATCGTAACGATAGCAGAAACCTTTTTGGTGCTATGTAGAACCATATACAACACATTCTCCATTAACCTGAAGAACTCTGAATGACATTGTTTACATCTCAACGAATGAATTACGCAGATAATTGTAAAATCGATGAAACTGCCCTTGTAGTCAAAAAGTAGTCAAATTGCTAAAAATGAGCTGTAAATTAATGAATGTCGGCATTTCAGACGTTGAGTCTGCTGGTAATGGTGGTTTCAGCTCATGATTTAGGTTCACATTTAGGCTGACGGGTGGAAGTGGGGGTATATTTGAGGCCCACCCACCCGTTCCATACATCCCGCGTCCAGCCTCGTACTCACCCCGTACACTTTGGCCAGCGTGTTGAAGAGCATCTGCCCCGCGCTCACTTTGTCCCTCACCCCGCGCACCGTTCCGTTCTTGCTGCGGATGGTCACGCGCTTGCCGCTGAAGAGGCGCTCGTTCGCGCCGCTCGCGTACAGCAGCAGGTCATCGGGCTCGCTCCCGCTGTCGTCCACGCGCGCTCCCACCGCTGCGCTCAGGTGGCTGTTGACCTCACTGATGGCGGGCGAGGCTGCGCGCTCGGGCTCCGAGCTGCCGGTGGTGTCCGAGTCCGCCGGGTCCTCAAGCGGCTCCTCTCGAAAGACTTCCGCCAGCACGCGGCCGGAGCGCGCGGACGCCACCCGAAACCGAACCCTGCGCTGCGGGCGGCCCGCCTCGAGCCTCCCCGTCTCTCGCTCCATCAGCAGCAGAGCACACAAAAAAGCCTACATCATTCACTCATTTCATATCGTCTAAACACAGTAAAGTTCCTGCCTGTATTACAGCCCGATATCCGCCCTGATCCACGCGCTGCGCGAGAGTGTGACAGGAGGGTGTCAGGTTGACACCGAATGTGTTAATATTGAATGAAGCTGATCCATGGAGACGGTGAAAACAGACTGAATAAGAAATGAAACAAATTATAACACAAATTGAGAACAGCTTCCTTTGTGAGGTAGGAAATAAAGTTTAACTTTGTCATATACTATCGGACGTTTCTGTGAGACCACCACCGTGAGCGTTTCATCAAAGTGGAGAAGTTGAACCGCTTATTTGGTTTTCAATCGATTCCATCTGTGAGAAATCAGACCGTGTTACCGCTGCCTGACGCTAGATGGCAGAGCAGCGCTCAGGTCAGGTTAAACTTCGCAATCCTCGTTTCGTAGAAGAAGACAAAGCAGAATGAAAACACACGAGCAGTAGAGAAACGTTTAGCGTTCACAGCGTGTAGCTGATTATCAATATCATGCTTGTTTTACCTCATTTACGAAATACATGACTGGCGGACTTGAGTATGAAAACAGCACAGCACGGTAAGCGTATGTATGTAGGAAATGATGTGAATAGGATTAGTATGGACCTGGGTTTCACTCCTCAAACTAACCTGTGTAGGTTATCTGTCTGCCTTGAGCGTGGACTCTATTAAATATGTCCATTTTTTCTGAACAAACTCATAATTAGAACCTGCCAACTGTTTTGGTTTTGTCGTGATCAGATGTTTCGCGTGGGGGGAAAAATTACTCCACATCAGAATACAGTGGCCCCCAAAAGTATTTAGACACCGTAAGCATTTAATCGTTGGTAAACTGTAATGAAATTCTTTAGGTTACTTCGTAAAGTATTTAACGACATATTTCTTTCGGAGAGAAAC